TTGAATAATTTAAAATGAATTAATTGAATAATTTAAAATGAATTAATTGAATAATTTAAAATGAATTAGTTGAATAAAAATTAATTAATTAATTGAATAAAAATTAATTAAAAGGATTTATAATAATTACCTGAAAAGATACAACGGCGACTGATAGCATACCAAGCATAATAAGTGATAAGGCATTTTTACTACGAGCCATACCACTATAGAAATAACCTACACCTGGAATCATAATAAACACCAATGCAGTAGAAGTCAAGGTCCAAGCAACATCCCCGTGTCTAGTAGCTGCCGTAATAGCTGCTACAATTGTCGCGTTATCAGCCATCTTTGAATTAACTTTTTTAAAACAATTATAAAATGTGTATATATATATATTTATATATTTATATATACTATATATAGGGAAAAATTATAAATGAAGAATGAATTGAGGATTGATCATAAAAAAAAAAAGGTAAATAAATCTAAGATAACTTTGTGAAATTGAAAAAGGAAAACCAAAGAATTATAATGAATTATACCCCTAAAAAGAATAAAAAGAATAAAAAGAATAAAAAGAATAAAAAGAATAAAGAATTTTAATTATAAAAAGAATTTTTTTTAATTCTTAATTAATTCTAATTAATTCTAATAGGGATAACCAAAAAAAAAAAAATTCTTGAAGAGGTTCGTGTCTCTTTGTTCAAAATATAACAAATGCAAAATGCACAGGGAAACCGGTGAACCACTTTTTTTTTTTTTTTTTTGGCAAGGAGCCAGACTAAAAAAAAATTTATATATGAGTATATATATATAATTTTTTCTTGAGTACGTAATATAATTTAGAAATAATAAAATTTGGATCAGATTAACATTGGATAATATTGGCAAAGTTTCATGTTTAAACTTGATTAAAAAGATTAAAAAGAATACTCTGTACGAGTTAAGCTTCGGAACGACATTTGATGATACCGATAACAACTTTTTTCTAACGTCACAAGACTAATAAATATTTTTTTAAAATTCTTTGTAAAGTAATTTTCGTGTAACCAGAAGCACAAATTCAATCTAACAATAATCGTTTAACTTTAGTATAAAGATCATATAACACCATAGAAATCATTATACAAGTTCGTATCTGGTACGGAAAATCCGCATCCGTTTGCTTTTTATGAAATGAAAAGGGCTACGTGTAACTTTTGACACTATTCTAATTCAGGATATTATTCTCAAAGTTCAACCATTTCTTCGATGGTCTTTTGTTATGCACGTCGTACATAAGATAAGAAAAAGATGTACAACTTTAAGGTCATAAAAGTACCTACGTACGTGATGCAAGTAGTGCAAGTAGTGATGCAAGTACGTACACGTACGTACGTACGTACGTACGTACGTATGTACTTACGTATTAACGTTAAGGGGAGTATAAATTTGCCTAATACGTTGTGACTTTAGCGGTATATGTATAAGTAGCGATACATGTAATGATATAACGATAACTGTTAAGAAATACAGTTGTTGAATAACTTTAAGCGCTTTATTTGTAAAGTACCTATTGCGTGATACAATGATACAAACCAAAAAAGGCCAATTAGGGAACATAAATTTGTTTTTTACTGATCAATTGACACGTGCGCAAAGTAAAAAAAAAAACGACTACGTATTAAAAATACAGATTAAAATTTTTTATTCATTAACCCGACTTTTAATGTATACATTAAAATCAGTTTTGATTTGTATAACTTAAAAAATCCTCCATACTAGTTTATATCCGGTTAAAGTCTTGGCAAATCTACTATCTTATTATGTATTAACGAAATTATCAAACTTTATTTGTACGTGTGTGAATTTGTACGTATTTGTACCTGTGAATTTGTACCTGTGTGATAATTGCAGACAAAAGGGGTATTTCATATATTTGGAACTACGTAATTAATTCAATGCTATTGTTCTTTGAGAAATAATCCTTACACTTTTGTTGTAACTTTTATCGTACCTTTCTTTGTCGTAACTTCTGTCGTAACTTTTGTTGTACGTACGTACGTACGTAACTTTGTCATAATTGCGTCACAGCGATAATGTATATGTTCACATCACTACTATATAGTTACTAGTTATGACTTAATTTTAGAATAACCTTTTACATAGCTAGAGTTTTAGTAACATCTAAAATACTGTAGAGGATTTTTTATGATTTTATGATTTGTTTATGATAAGATACGTACTATTTTTTTTTTTTACTAAACATTACTAAACATGTGAATATCACTTTGTTTTTATATAATCGAATAATTAATTACATTCACCCATGAAATGATTGAAATGATTGAAATGATTGAAATGATTAAAATGATAGACAAAGAACTCTCAAGAAAAATAGCTGAATTAGTGTTAGAACTTACTGCATCAGTATCGGTATGTTACTGTATGTTTATGTTTAAGTATGTTTACCAAATAATAAGCTAATTTTGCTCATTGTACGTTCTAAATTCATTGAAAGTTTAATAAGTTTATCACTTTGCTTTATTAAGAATTGATAATCATATTACATCTCCCCAGGAAATATCCCTTGCTCATGTACTGCATGTATGCAGACGCAATTCTTGAATGTGTGCCAGGTTGGTGGCGCATAAGCCACAAGTGACCGATTGTCACGTGTTAAATTCTAAAATT